GTATTGGAATTTTTAGACAAAATCAAAGGTATTAATGCCAAGGATAAAACTATGATATCAGTGAACATAACATCTTTATTCACAAATATACCTCTAATAGAAACACTTAACTGCATATGTGAACAAGCTTATAACCAGTCCATAAATATTGGCATTCCAAAGGAAATCCTCAAAGAATTGTTATTAAGGTGTACCATGAATGTAAATTTCAAATTTGATGGCACACTTTACAGACAAGAGGACGGAGTAGCGATGGGCTCCCCATTGGGGTGCCATTTCGGCAGATTTCTTTCTAAGTAAACTAGAAAATGGACCTTTGAACAACCTTATCAGAAAATTCTCATTTTATTGCCGGCATATGGATGGCACCTTTATTCTTTGTGATAATAATTCTGCTGAAGAAGCTGTGGCTTACACAGCGAAATGTTCGGAAAAATCTTGTTTTGATTTTTTCTTAAACACGCTGGGATTATTTTAAAAAATTTATAAATTAAAAGGTGAACCTAAATAACAGGAAAGTTAAGGATATTTTCCTTCAAAGAAAATACTCCACAGGTTGTCCTAATGCTTGGTGAACTAGAAGCAGTTGGTATTATTCTTGAAAATAAAGTGAAGTTAACACCTGAAAAATGTTTAATTAAGAATCGGCTAAGAGTTAACTTGTAACTTGAACTATGTGTCCGTAAATAAAAGGTCCTTAGGCTATGGAGACCTTGACACGTCTAACTGAAGGAATAACACCTCCACTGATATCTAAACACAGTTAATTGAGGAAAGACTACGTATATAAATATAAAACCGACGGATAGCTAGTTGGGTGGGAGATTTAAGCCACCAACTGAAGTTGTTTTCAAGAAGTATTTGGTGTGTGAAATTCAGAAGTGATAATCAACTTTTATTTGGATCAAGTTAAAAAGGAGGCGGGGAGAAATAACAGTAGATCTGTTTCCTTTGACTCAATCTTGATCAGGAACGAGCAAGAGAATGTGATAAAAATACATCATACCATTTAAGCGGATCATGAAAATGAAACAGATATCTACAAATGCAATCAGAGAATATGACTTTAGAATAGAAGTGGATGGCTGTAAGACCTGACCATTAAGAGTGGAAGACATGAAAAGCCTAACTAGCTGTCTTTGATCATAGGTGTCTGCATTCTATCTTCCGTGTGAAGTGGTATAATAGGGTGAGCAATATTGAAATTAGGCCTCGGTCGAGTGCTAGGTAAGAAGGGGAAGTCAGTCGACGAGACTGTAAAGCTACATCGACTGAAATGGTTAGGATATGTGTCACGTATGCCTAGTCACCGCCTTCCTCGACAATGAGCAATGTTAGCTGACATATGGCCAGGCTGGAGAAGAGCTAGTGTCGGTCAAACCAAAACATGGCACCAGTCAATGAAATTTTTAACAGTTTAGGCTACGTGGGAAGATGTAGAATCCCTGGTTGGGGTCCTCGGGATGGTAAAAGCCAATGGCTAGAGACAGTTGGTGATATAGCTCAAAATCGTTCTCAATGGCTGGTGCAGATGCATCCACTCCTTGTAACTTATAATTATATTGTTCTTCGTTATGACTATTCCTTTTGTATCCTATCCCTGTCTGCTGTCTTTATTATGCTTTTCTTCTACTTTCTTCTCTTAATTTGTGTGCTACATAGAGTGTGGCGACTTGAACTGCTGCACATCGATGCCAGACAGATAGAAGTAGATGAAGTGTATCAGCCTAACAATGACTTTGAACTATCACGCTGATCCCAGACTTAACGCTTATCTGCATCAATTAGCAAGATATACCTCCAACCCTAATGGCAGATTTCTCCCCTCAGGGATTCAAACAGGCTTTGCAAAGTACTCTGTACAACTGAGTCACTTTAGAGGCAAAATTATTCCGCTAAATCATGCGATGGACGAGGTTGATAACAGCTAAAGAGAAAGTTAAAAGAAACAAACCATATGTGATATCTACTTGAATATATAAGCGCTTACAGCGCGTTTGTTTTAAGTCAAGCATATTCTACTTGTTTTTATTGTTATTAAAAACAGAGTTCCGTTTTTAGTTCATTCGATTTTATGATAAATTTCTCAACTAGTTATCAGATATTAGTAGAAAGAAAAAACAAACAAACCATACAAATGAACGAACGAAATCATAAAGTCAATTAACATTTAGAAAGGGGGGGGTAGGGTTGTGTCCTAAAAATGAAACATTGAAATATTATTTACATAATACTTAAAGTCACTTCTGTTTATCCGTCTGTTTGTTTTGCTATATATCACTAGTATTACTAGTAATAGTAATATAAGTAGTATTAGCATCATTAGTAGTAGTAATAATAGTAGTAGTTAGTTGGTTTAGAAAACTTATTTATGCTAATCTCACAGAAAAACTTTGTTGAGTACAACACTGAAGAGAAGAAAACAAATAAAACGCTGTGAACACATACACACACACAAAAAAAAACAGCGCTGGTGACATTTGATAAAAACAAAATTACTTCACAGTTTGTTTACTTTTTCAAGCTTATCACAAGTATTTTATGCACGAGAGTGTGTAAACATTAATAATGATAATAATTATAATAGTAATCGTGGCACCGAACAGTCAGAATGTCAACAAATGAGGATACTATAAGTAAGTAAGTAAGTACGAAAGTAGGTGTGTGTGTGAGTGTGTGCGTGTTAATTCTTCTATCTACAGAGTTATTTGATTAACAGAAAGAAAAAATACTGTTAATAATGACTGATATTTAGTAGGGGTTAAGGATTCATAGGCCATTGAATCGGGTTGCAGTGGCTGAATGGTATATGAGCTCGCTAGCATTTGTAACTAGGAGGTCCTGAGTTTGAACCCCGATGGTGGGTGCGTACCGCCGATGATTCCCAAACTAATGGGATGAAATGGCTGTCCAGTACTTTAATGCTGGTTTTTAATAGTTCTCTAACCGATATCAAACCGTGGTCTAACTCGTGAAAACAAATCGAATCCTTACAAATCAACTCTCTCTCTCTCTACTCAGCCGGTTGAGATCTTTAGGCTGTCAAGAATTGACTCCACTATGGATAAGATTTTATTTTGATAAATCACATAGTGTTGTACAGTAATATTAACTGATGATTGTAAAATAAAAGGAATAGAAGAAGGCAAACTACACATTAGTGTTTATAGAAAACCAACGCATCCCGCTAATAGATATTTAGACTTCAATTCATCTCATCCGTTATCTGTCTGTGAAGGCAGGCTTAGTTAAGTGCCTAAAAAACCGAGCCATAGCACTAAGTAGCACAAAAAAGACCTAAATGATGAAATGAAATAATAACTATCCTTTAAAATTCATGAGGAAGATTGAAAAAGGCCAAAAGAAAAAAAATAATTGTGAAACTAGTAATGATAACATAAATAAGAGAGAATATAAGTCATCTACTGTTATACCATATAAAGAGGGGACATCTGAGGCCCTACGTAGGATTCTTAATAAAGCAGGAATTAGGGTGGCATTTAATCCTACAAACTCACTCTGGTAGGACAAGGTTTGTAGGTTAAGGGACCCAGCTGACCCAATTAGACAAAATAGTATAATTTACAAAATACCCTGCAATGACTGTGAGGTTGACTACGTAGGTCAAACTAGTAGGTCAGGGGTAGTCAGATTGTCAGAACATAAGAATTTAGCCAAGGTAAGAATGGTTGACCCTGAAAAGATAAGTAATTTAGAAAAAAGCTCAGTTATTTCACTTCACGCATTAACAAACAACTGTACAATAGGGTGGGATAGGGTTAAGATTCTAAGAAGTAATCTAGGTCGGTGGAGATAGAGAGAGATTGATTACTGAATCCTGGTTCATCGAGTCTACACCCAACACATGCAATAGTAGGGACTTAATGCAGAGATATCGAAGATATCAATTCTACCAGTCAAATCAGAAGAGGATAATAAATAATCTCAAAATTCTATTTCAATTCAAGTACATCACAACATTCTAACAAGTAACTTATTATGACTATCAAAACACTCGTCTTATTTCCCACCTAGTTGTAATTTATCAATAACACTCGTATTATTATTTCTCAATGTACATTATCCCATATTGATTTCTATTCAAATATTTAGTTAATTCCACACATGTATATAAATGAAGCAAGGAAGTTGTGTGAGTAACTTGATATGATTATGAGCAATAGTTTTTGCTTGAAACGTGGTCATCAGTAAATATTAATATATAACACTGTGTGATTTATCAAAATAAAATCTTATCCATAATGGAGTTATGCTCTACCACAGTGCCCAAGTTTTATACTGTCAAGAATTACCTTGGATGATCGCTTTAATGGGTAGCAGAGAACAGTAATAACTGACTACGAACGGCCAACATCAAATGAAATTTGTGGTAATCTTAATTCACCTAGGCCTGTTGGTCACTTAGTAATAACTGATACTTTAACCTCAAGGGAAACATCTATCGTGAAATGTACATTGGTTGCAATGGAGTGAACGCTTTATTAGCATAACATCTAAACAATACTCAGTAACAACGTACCGGTAACATTCTTCTTCTTTCCCTCCTTTGTGGTCCAAGTGGAATATAAGGGGCTTCAAACTTCAGCTTTGAAGTTTTGGTAGCTGTGGTGTTGTTCTTCCCGTGAGTTTCTAGCCTTATTCTCAATCTTTCCCAATTTTTGCGCTTACTACAGGTTAGGCAAGGTCTAGGAATCGAACGCTGACCGCATGGTTGATTTGTGAGCATTCTATTACTGATCCTCCGGTACATCGGTGACATATATAAGTGAAATATTCAACATAGGAGGCTGTAAATTTCTTAAAAGTTGGTAAACTAATTTGTGCATAGTCGAAAATGTCAGAATCACAGTTTTACGTGGTTCTCTTCGAATAGTAGGTAGAGTTAGTTGGAATATATATGTATATACGTTTAATTTACAAAATAAAGTGCATGAGACATGTTCAACAGTAGTGTTATTTCAGTAGTTTGTAGAGCTTACCTCAAGGGGAAATGTGATGACAGGAGATATCCGACTTCCAGTTGGAAAACTTTCATTATTATCTAAAGAAACCAAAAGCAACAAATCAAAATTATAAACCTAAAGCAGAACAGTTTATAGGAAGAAATCACCAGAACAAATCAATATAACAATGATATGAAGGCAGCAGTAACTTGTAGACAGTACTTATATCCAGTATGCCATCTTTGGATTCTTGTAGTAAAGTATGTTTCCAAATTCCCATTTACGCATTTCGGAGACAACAGCAGATAGAGCAAATAAACATGCATTCCTTTTCAATTACTTTCTCATCGTCGACTGGCTGGCTCTACACTAATATATATATAGTTTTTTACATGAAAATTTCTATGCAGATAAGCTATGCTGTGAAAAGACAAACTGCCATGTTTCGCCAAATCCATGTGTATTTACCAGTTTAACTGCCCATGCGGAGCTAGTTACATGGGGCGTACAATCAGGCAAGCCCATCGTCGAATTTCTGTACACCTCCCATCTTGGTTTGGCAAAGACCCGAATAGAGCTTATCTCGTCGATACCGGATATCAATTTGACTCTAACAAAGCGTTTAAAGTTGTTTATCATACATTACCCAATCTCTCACATGGTCTACGACTAAGAATTTAATATACAGCAGAGGCTATGGGAATTCATCAGAACAAGCCAAATCTATGTGTTCAGAAGAAATTTGCACAGCTCCTTTCTCTGCCAACTACATAGTGTGTATTAGGTTTTTAAAAACGATTTTTCCCCTCCCCTTGTAACTATCCTTTGATTTTGCTAATTTTTATAATTTTTACAACTCTAGCTAATTCTATTAACTTATTTGTATATATATTATATATATTTATTGTATTTTACGTAACTCTTCTGAGTCATCCTATTCTTCTTAGTTATCGGTGCTGTTTTACAAAAATTTCTTGATTATGCAATAAAATCCAAGTGTTGGTTTGTAGGGATTTGATTGGTTACAGGATTTCATTGTGAGTTGACATTAGTTAGAGAACCATTGCTCCTTTCTTGAAGCACTTGGTCACACGAACATAGTCAAATTTCCCACTCGACTTGACAAAACACTCGATCTAGTTTTTACTAATGACGAAGGAGTATATGAAACACGTAGACGTTCACCGATACTAAACTCAGATCACTGCATTGTCCATGTTTTACCAAAAATATACAGCAAAACACATATTAGAGTCTTCTCACACCTGTCTATGAAAGCACAACAAAGATGCTACACATCTGATAACCTACTCAACCTAAGATCCATGTTAAAAAATACTAACTGGGATTTATTCTATGAAAGTACATTAGATGACTCAATCACCAACATAACGGATTATCTGAAGTTCTGCCTCGACATATGCTGTCCCAAACATACACTGTTCAAACGCCTCAACCGCTTCTCGTCTCCTCATCTCAAACAACTTCGCAAGCAAAAAGAAATGTTATATAAACGCAAAGATAAGTTAGGTCAAAGATTAATGCTCAAATCAAATCTGAAATCAAAAATCTTAATGCTATCTATAACTAAACACTTTTATCATGCAAATCTCCTATCAGCATGTGGAAATTTTTCAATGAAATTACTGGCAATAGTAAGCGATGTAATGTTTTTCGCTCTTATGATGTTACTGCTCTTAATCAGTCTTTTATACGCTCCCCTTCTACTATAACTACTTCTAACGTTACCAATCTTGTAGCTGATAACTTCCAGGACTTTAACACTCTTGATGCTTTAAAATGTCTTGAAACTCTTAAGCCCTCATGTAGTCTTGGCCCTGATGGTATATCTGCATATGTTCTAAAACAATGCGCAGATGCTTTATGTTCTCTCCTAACTAATATCCTAAATGCTTCTTTCTCCAAAAACGTTGTACCTGTTCCATGGAAAGACATTAAAATTGTCCCTGTCCCTAAACCTGGCAATAGCAAGAACGTAAAGATCAGACCTATTGCCCATCACTTCCCCGTTTCTAAAGCTTATGGAAAAACTTGTACTTCTTAAAATTGAACCCTCCCTTAAAAGCTTCGAAGACCCCAAACAATTTGCCTATAGACAGGGTAGGAGCACTTTAGACGCTGCAGCCGTCTTACACAACAGTATCGTCTCATTATTAGATAAAGGCGCCAAATACGTCCGCTGCACGTTTCTCAACTTCACTTCTGCTTTCGACTCTGTGCCTATATGTCTCTTGCTAAATAAGCTCTCTATGACACAAACTGAGACCTGGGTCACTAATTGGTTGCATTCCTACTTCTCTAAAAGAATGCAGTACACCATATACAAAGGTAAATCCTCCTCTGCTGTGCTCACTGAAGCTGGTGTCCCCCAAGATGCTGTACTCTCCCCACTTCTCTTTTTTTTCTTTCTTTCTTTCTATATGACTTACCATCTTGAAATGACATTAATTTTGTCAAATATGCTGACGATCTGACTGTATCCTTGCCTGCCTGTCAAATATCAAAGTGACTGCTCCAAACTAAACGACTTTTTATCAGAAGCCAGTCAATGGTCCAAGGAAAATGGCCTCACCTTAAACCCCTCCAAATGCCAAACAGTTAATTTCACCTTTAGACACAAATCTGACCTAAGCAAACTGGTTACCACTCACGAGGTGTGCAACATAGACGATGGCACTGAAATAGAAACCAAGTCGGAAATTAAATACCTAGGCGTCACTCTATCTTCTGATCTTTCCTGGTCGTCTCATATCTTGATGATTTCTAAGAAAATATTCCGTCTTACCTTCTACATCAAGAAGTTAAGGTATTCTGGAATAACCCAACCCTTGCTCCTATGATTCGTTAACTCTTGCATCCTGCCTAGTATTCTCTACTGTTCCCCCTTAGTTTTTCCTGGGCTGGCTACTGAAGAAAGACTATACCTTATTGCGTATGATGTTAAAGACTGTCAGCAGGGTAAGCAGTGTGCCACTTAGCCAGCTTGTTAATATTCTGGTTTACAGGCACATGGACTCATGTGAAAAATAGGCTAAATCCATTCTGTCTATCTAACTCACACCACCCTCTTCATTCACAACTCTCCCCTTGTATCTCATCAGGTAAAACCAGAAGCCTATACAGAAAACTATATGCTCGCACTAGTAAGTACAAAAACTCAACTATACCCTACTTAGCTCGTGTTCTGTGTGATAAAGAAAGCATTAAGCGTGATACCTAATGCTTATTAAATAGTCAGTAGAACAACTGGATCTCGTCTTTCCAACTCACATCATTTATAGGTACAACGTTTTCTCTCTACCTTTTTTTTAATATGTAATATGCCAGTAAATATGCTAGCATCTACTTTTCTAACACCTTCTAACACTCTGTTTAATTTTGGTTTTGCTACCGACACGCTAATATGTTGTCGTCAAAACTAAATTAGATAACCTTATTCTATGTAGAACTTTATTTATTGTTAATGTACTAACTGGATGCGATATTGTAGTAAAACGCTGAGAATTCCATTCTGTATCACAAGTAGTGTTTTGGAATAAAGCTATTATGTTATCCTTAAAAAAATCCACCTGTGGAGAACTTGACAGCTGTTTCCTACGTCCTAGTCTGGGACTCTTCAGCAGGGCGCACCCACCGCCATGGCTAGAACCCAGGACCCTCTGGTTACAAGGCGAGCTCGTATACCATTAAGCCACTGGGACCCAATCCAGTAGCCAATGAATTCTAAATTCTGCCAATTCATGACATAGCGCGACCCCTAGCCAATGTCTTAGGCGAGTATTTTCTCCACACCCGACCTTCTGCAGCCTACTGATCATGACTTCTCACTTGAACCTCAGATAACTACAATCAGAAGTTCCTGGGTTCAAACCCCGGTGGTTGCGTACTGATGAAAAGTCTCAAACTAGGTCGAAACAGTTGTCCAATATTCCAAGGTTTTCCAATGGTTCTCTAACTAATGTCAGCTCATGATGAAATCCTGTATGCAATAACTTGTTGCATTAAATTATCTCTAACTCCATAATTAATTTTCAACCCTCCTTTGAAACTTAGATATCTTGTTACTAACATCTATTAGTTAATTATTTTGATAACCTTTAACCTCTTAATTTCACTCCGTATACTTAAACCTAAAAATGATTAACTAAAATAACCACTTGATTAGTAAAAAGACATTTTAATGTAAAAAAAAACTATATATTAGTGTAGAGCCAACCAGCCAGCCGCTAACGAGGAACTAAATGGAAAGGAATGCATATTTCTTCGCTCAATCTGTTGTTTATCCAAGAGTATGTTTGTTTAGACTTCATTTAGTAGCAGTTATAAAGTCACATAGAGTTACTTTTTGTACATGAACGAACTTTCGTTTGATCCGAATCTAAAACCTCCTAAAATCCACATTCTTATTATTCAACAATATTATTATTATTATTAAACTGAATATTGGCTACTATACATATGGCTAAGCACCAATTAATCTCGAAATCATCACAATGTTTATCTGACAAATTGTGTTACACGGCTTTTAGAAAGAAGAACGACTGTCGTTTGACAGCAATCTGTGTATCTCTGTAATGCTATAGTTTTAAATGGTCCATTCATAAGACAACATACTGTCAGAAGTGAATTTCTAAACACGAGAAATCCTGAAAACCACTTGCCCACAGTTACTATTATTACTATTATCTAACGGTTGCCTCAAGTAGACTGACAGAAGAAGAGAGAGAGAGAGAGATAAATCATACATCATCAACATCAACAGCAACAACAACAACAGACAACAATCAGCCAGCATAAATGGGAGGAACCTGAAAGAAACAACCTCCTCTACCTACCCACCCACCTGGGAAGCATCACCGTTTCAACTACAGGCGGACGGAACTGACGATGATATCAAAGCCAGAATCGTAAAAGCAAGACAAGCTTTCAGTACTCTCAAATCTGTGTGGAGGTCAACAGCCCCACTCAGCATCAAAAATAAGATCCGGATTTTCAACTCCAATGTCAAGTCAGTGCTACTATACGGATCAGAGACTTGGCGAGTTATAAAGAGCATCTCAAACAAACTTCAAACCTTCATTAACAGCTGTCTCCGCTCAATACTCAAGATCAGATGGCCGGCCAGAAAAGATCAGCAACAGGGATCTCTGGCATTGAGCTAACCAACACAGCAAGAACCGATTGTGAAACAAATAGGCAGGAAGAAATGGAGATGGACTGGCCATACGCTGAGGAAACCATCAAGTGACATAACTAGACAAGCCCTCGAGTGGAACCCGAAAGGGAGGCGGCGAGTTGGTTGTCAGTGTGGGGGTGACTTGGAGGAGGTCATGCGAGGAGGAGATGAAAGCATGTGGACAGACCTGGAGCGGGGTGAAAAAGTTGTCAGAAAACCGAAGGCAATGGAGGTGCGCAGCTGAAGCCCTATGTTCCTATAGGAACTAAAGGATACAATAAATAATAATACACAAAAAGACTCGACAATGCCAGAAGACGAAGTCAATGTCTCACATAAAATAAAATGCATGAATTGGGGGAGGGGGTGGGGAGAACACTAAAATTGGACAAAGAGAATGTCTTCTTCATCTTCGCATCCATGAATACAAACCAGCAGTCAGAAGACATGACGTATATTCATCTATATCAATTCACATGGACAACTATGGACATTAATTCAAATAGAATAATGTCAAAGTGTGAGACAGAAGAAACACAAAGAAGGCAAGGGAACTCCTACACGCCTGAATAAAGAACAAGTTACACGACCCAGTGGTTAGATATCAGGTAAACCCGAAAATCAGTATTAAACAAGTGAATCGAGCAATAATGAGATCTTCAATCACGGTTAAAGCCTCCAAGGAAGACAAATATTCCCCAGAGTTTACTTCAGAATGAAGTTAATGCCGAAGATGATTTCCAAAAAAAAACAATGGAAGCTGTTGAATTAAGCCATTCAGCGTACTTTTTGAATACTTTTTCTTATTCCTTTACTTTCCCAATGGAAGATAAGGCTTCAAGCTAAAGCTTTGAAGTTTCAGTAGCAGTGCTCTTATTTTATCCATACGGAGTGCAATCGGCAGCCTCACGTTCAACTTTCCTTCTTTACCGGCCTTACTACAGGCTTGGCGAGGTTTTAGGCCTTATTCAGCTGAGGATCGAACCCCAGGAGACGTGTGCAGTTGGTCGGCGTTCTACTGCTGAACCACTGGCACACAAACACACTACCTGGTCTTTTTAACACCGGTAATTAATCTTTTAGTGCGTAGTATTCGGTTGACAAAACACAATGTTACATATACTACCAGAAAAACCGGTAAATTTCTTAGCGTCAGTGTATGCGGATTGCCATGTAAACTGACTTCGGAGTTGTCTTTGAAGTACAAAAGAATTAAGGGAACTTTCATATCTGCTGTTTGTTCTCTTAGAAATTATGTGCAGTGTCAGGGAATAGCTAGAAAACTTCACAGTTGATCACTGAGTTCTAAATATTCTACGGAATCCTAATTTTACGTCTGCAAATGGATATCCACACAGATTAAGGAATTTGATGATGAGAAGCTTTTTAACACTCATCTGGTGAGTCGTGAAACAAATCAAATTCCTGCTAACCAACACTTGGATATCAATGAGTTGCTCACTAGCGGCTGTACCTATTCAGGTAGGTAGTTAACGAGGTTCTAGTAGAAAGCCATGATCAGTGAGGTGTAGCAGGTCGAGCATGAGGACAAATTCTCGCCGGCGATGACACTGGCTAATGGTCGCACCATATTGTAATTTCGTTCGGTTGGAATTCATGGGATGGCCATTGGATCGGGTCTCAGTGGCTAAATGGTCTACAAGCTCGCTGGCTTTGTAACCGGAAGGTCCTGGGTTTAAACCTTCTGTAATGGGTGCGTACTGATGAAGAGTCTCAAAGTAGCAGGATAAAACAGCTGTCCAGTACTTCAGTACTGGTTTTCAAGTAGTTCTCTAACCGGTGTAAGTTGATGAAGAAATCCTCAGACTAATCAAATCCTTGCAAACCAACACTTGAATAAACAAAAATTGTTTACCTTTAAACATATTAGTAAACTGGTAACTCTGTAATTAAACAAGTCATAAGTGACGCTAGATTCGACAGGATATTTATGTCATTGTTTAGAATATATCCAAATCACACATATTTAGTTATTTGGACATCATATTTAGAGGAAATCACAGTTACTGTAAATAAATAGGTCTGTGAACTATTCATTTTCTAAAAACGGATTGACTTAATAGTACCACGTCTGGAGTCCTACCTTGGAAACTGAATAAATTATGCACTCCAACCAGTTAATGTGAATCCTCGTCTTACAGTGTCTTAAAAGTTTGAACAATACATACACACACACACACACAGAATCAGGAGACAGATACTGGCCGTGACTTCTTGACTGAAAGTATCGTCATTACAATGCTTCGTATGTCGATGCTCGATCTACTCCTGATATTGAACCTAGACTGAATTACTTACCAATTAAAAATCCTGTGAACGAAATTCAAAGTGATAGATAAAATTAATGCTTTTATTTTTTTTGTTATATAAATAGATATCTTTATTACTGCTTAATTCCAGTTCGTGAAATATATTCAGTGTAAGAGGGCAATTATCACTCAGAAATTTTCAAACTCATAAATCATTAACAAGACATACATACATAGCAGCATTATAAAAGTTAACAAGGAGACGAACAGTGGTTTTCGGCGGTTTAATTCCTAAAACCTGTTTAATGACTAGTGTACACCACTTTTCGACGAATGGCTATGGTGCATTATTTGGGAATGACAGTAGTTTGTCAAGCATGACAATAAACAAAGTAAGGGATGAATCCTTATAGAGTAGTTATGTAACATGATGAAGTGTTTAAACTACCTTTAGATACAAATAATCGCTAGATGGCAAACATCAGTCGACTGCTATTTTCTTCTAGTCCTAGAACTTTTAGTTGCATGTGCTTAGACCCCAGTTTACAACTGTTAGCAGCTTCGGTAGCAAACATATTCTCATTTAGCTACAGATAATCAGTTCGTTACTCTAGATAAATCATAGAGATGGACAATGACTACTGCTATTTGTTCTTCAAATTATGTCCAAAATTAATTACTAATAATTATTACGTTGTCAGTGGTTTAATTGTTGAATGTTTGCCAACCACGCAAGTGATCCGGGTTGGATTCCTAACAAATGCTGTCCTTAACGTCGCTTAGTTTACTAGCCGGTAGTAAATGAGGGAAGAAGAAAAGGTTTGGAGTGAGACTGCTAGCTCATCCCGCAGAAGCGACACTGTAGCCAAAGAAAATTTAAAGTTTAAGCCTCTTTGTTCCACTGAAAACATAAGGGGGGGGTGTGGTAAAAACGCCGTCGGAACGATATGACAGAGTGTCTCTAACAGCAGTTTAGAAGTGCATATTGTTATCTCTTTTGGATGATAACATTGTGGCAGTGAATGGTATTTTATTCATCAGGTATTATTATGATTCAAATATACGTAGAATGATAAAAACTAATTTTTACCTCACTTACCACTTTGTTCCTGTTAAAAGAAAAGAAAATAAGGAAAGACGTTTAAAAACAAACCCTTAAAATAATTGTGTGGTTGAGAATAAAAAAAGATCCATAAAACTGTATTGTTCATATTGCTTAGATCCATTCATGACTACATTTACGATAGAGTATATAGACTAAACCTTGATTTGACACTAGTAACTAGTGTGATGTGTTTAGTCCTTTCTTTGGTGCAGACTGAATTTTGTCAGCACTAGGTGACGCTGGTTTGAATCTCAGAAGGGACATGATGTTATGTACTGGTCGAGAATTTAATAGTCCTGACGCAAGAAAGACGGAAATCAGAAGATCACTAGGTTTGCGATGATAATTCTATTTTCCAAAACACCAGGAGAATCAATGTCACACAAGTGTGTGAGAGCAATTTAGTGTAAACGTCCGAACAAGTGTGTGAAACAAGTGTCTTATTACTTGAAAGAGGAATGGGAGGTATTTCCCCTACAGCTAGAGCATACATTCGAAACATTTTCCCCAACATTTTAGCTATTTTCTTAGAAACTTCATGATCTGACGCAAAGTTTGAGGGTGCATGCATGCGAATGCTCCCTTATTTGTCTGCGTTAGTCCCCTTTTAAGGTAAGCTGAACTTCTGAAACAAGTCGACAGTTTATGATTTGAAAGAGGGGTTATTTTTTTATTCTGTTCAGAGGTTGCTTTGAAGATTGGCATGTTTTTTCAAAGATTTTAACTGTTTTGCGTGCACACCGCTTTCCAACCTCTTTACTTCCAGCTTTAAGTGATGTTAGAAGTCTCATTGGGGCCTCACAAATTATTTCATTAAAGAGGCACCTTAAGTAACTTAATCCTCAGGTTCTAAAGGCCTTTTTTTGATTCCTTTCGCGTTCCGTGTGGGACATAGGGCTACAAGCATTTTGAGCTTTAGAAGTTTCAGAGTTCACCCAGTAGGGTGATGAAAGCTTCGCAAACTAACCATCCAGCTCAGAAAACACAATCACATCAAAATAATCCACCTGAGCTACAAATCTTCTCTATTTTATCTAGAGTTCATCCTTTTCTGAACTCACTAATGTCCAGACAAGGTTAAGGAGTGAGTCGGTAAGGGATCGAATTCTGAACCACATGAGTGGCTGGCTGACATTCTACTCCATAACCAGCACTGCACTCAAATAATGTGTGATTGGTAGTGAAGTGAGTGTGTGGGTGGTGAAAAGCCGGCAACACACAGTATTCGCGGGTGGTCACTCATGCAAGTACTAAATGAGCTCAGCATTACTTAACTTTGGTGATTGAACGGGAGTTTTCAACGTGATATGGTCGTCAACCTAAAGGTATGAATCCTTGAATAATATGGTGGCAACTAAGGATTTATAACTTTAGGACTAAAACAAGCCATCATACGGTAGTTCCTTTCCAGTTAGTTCTAGTACAGCTGTGATCAAATTATCTATGAACAGTTTCATAAACAGATATGTTTTTTTTTCCATAACTCAGTAGTTAGTATATCATAGGAATATCTGCTAGTTTTGCAAATGTGCTTACCAAAAATTCTGAGAAGATACTAGATGGTGAATTTCTGCTTTGTCGAAGAAGTGATCCTTGATGTAAAGCTGTACACAAATAGTCGTTGGTTTGATTTAACCGTTCCATTGTTGTTCTAAAATAGATGAAAAAAAAATAGAAAATTTCAGGTGTTATGATATTCAAAATTTGTTAGGAAATTGAATATACATATGTGAGCAGAAAAACTCTGATTCCTGTATAGATGCCCATCCTCAATGCCCATGAAGTTAGTCTTAAGTAACACAGTCTACAAATGAGGTTAACATACTAATGCAACGAGACAGAGAACATTAGCAGAACAGTGTTATTCTCATTTGACTTGACAAACTAGCTAAATTAATTAAAAGTACTGGACTCTCTGACTAGGCTTTCTCCCTTTGTGATACTAGGGTATAAAAGTAACTTTTCTTGGTAAATTGTTCTGTACAGTAATATCATCTGTAATCTATCCATAATTTGATGGTTACAACAAAAGAAAAACAAACAGTCTGCTATCCAGTTTTGTTGATAATCAAGCAATATATTCAACTGCCAAGCTACAGTGTCAAAGTTTAACATTTTATATAAACCCGACTGGTTGATATCAATTACTGTTCGTCGGTGGCACAGTGGTTAGGACTCTCGCCGACCATGCACATGGTCCGGAGTTCGAGCCCACGCCGGCTCACACCTGATATCTATGGTCGGCCTGCGAATTTTGGGCTACCGATATCTACGCTGAAAATTCCACACTTGTACAAAAATACGGTATGGAATCAAGCTGTAATCAAAAAATAAAAAAAATTTTAAAAAGTGACCTGAAAAAGTAGTCAGTGGATTTGGGTGCTAATTAGTGTATTATATGTACAGCAGATACCTGAATCTGTAATTCACTGAGAATTCTCAATAATAAGTTTTTCCCTATTATTGTACAAAGACAGTTTGTGTTAATTTTTAAACCAAACACTTTCTCCACTTATCTGAAAGTTATATGCCTATACAGCAACGCTAGTTCCTATCAAGTAACCGGAAGCATTCCTGTGGGTATTTTCTCCCAGAGATTCCAGTCATAATTGACGTCACTAGCCAGAGCGTATCCTGCAGTTAAGTTGATTCACGTTAATCGGACAACATGCTCTTTGGTGCAGTCAAAAGTCAACAGATACCCTTTCTCATGTTAACTCCAACTCTGTTTACAAATTTATGTGTATCCGAGGGAGCATTTACATTGGGAGAATAGAAAGAAGGGTACACCTTCGATTTTCTGAACATGTATCGAAAAACCTACTTGGATCTCAAGGGAACAAAAAATTTTAATAGTGCTATTACCAGGCATCTCCTTGATACGGGTGCCATCAGGTGGAAATCACGAAATCCTTTAAAATTATCAATAAACAACAAAGCTCAATTCTCTACAAGTTTGCCCAAGCAATCTATATCAAACGCTTGAAACCCGATTTATATGTTCAGAAAGAAGCAGTTATTAGTCTTTCCTTGCCCTGGTAACTGGATGTCTCTATTCTCTCATCTGATTACGTAATCCTTGGCTTAAACCTCACCTCCCTTTTATAATCTTTAATTTTGTTTGTCTCTTGTTTCTATGATTTGAGTTGAACTCAGTATATTGTTACCTAATTTATTAGTCACTTTGCATCTTAGGCATCCCTCGTCTTTATTACGTAACTCCTTTACCATTTTGTGCATACATTTATTTTTTTGTTTAAACTTGAACCGCCTGTGTGAAAAATATATAAGCGCAATTTTCTGACCACTGCTCACTAATATCGGAACTTCCTGTCAACTGACATCATGTAATATGTGCAAGTATGTACAAACTTTTCTGTAAATAAACCTCATAGTTTACTTAGGCTGTAAGCAGCTGATGAGAATCCAACGAAATACATGATGGTACCATATTATTCTGCACAAACCACTGTTGTTCTTGCTTTATTCAAAATACATATTAACACGGAATATACTATTAAATAACCTGAGCAGTGGGAAAGTATTTTATATGATCTGTAAGTTTGATTCTGAAATTCAGTTCACATATGTGATTAGTTGATAAGTAGTGATAGTTGGAGGATTTCATCATGAAATGACATCGGTTAGAGAACCACCGGGAAACCTGCACTGGAGCACTGAAAAGCTGTTTCGACCCACTACTCTGGGACTTTTCAACGGCATGCATCTACTGAGATTTGAACCCAGGACCTTCCAGTTACAAGGTCAAGGAGCTCATATACCATTAAGCCACTGTTACCCGATGCGATGGTTAAAACATAAATTCTAACTTCTGTCAATTCACAACAGTAATGACCAAAATGGCTGAATTAAGAGAATCTAGATTAAATTACTGAAGAAAAATCCTGGTCAGAAAGTTTTTACGAAAGTTGGATACACACGAGATTAAGTAAAACCACTGAGACAACATCTGGTAAGCCATAATGGCCATTCTCCATCAATGACACACAAAATTACAAGTGTTGGTTTGCAGGGATTTTATTTGATTGGTTGCAAGATTTCATCATCAGCTGACATCAGTTAGAGAACCATTGGAAAATCTGGAAGTTAAAATTCATGCACTGGTCACTGGATCGAGGCTTAATGGTCTACAAGCTAACTCACCTTGTAACGATAAGGGTTCTGTGTTCAAAACCTTGCGATGGGTACGTGCTGAGGAAGAGTCCCGAAATAGGCTGACGAAACACCTATCCAGTACTCTCTAGTGATTTCCCAATGGTTCTCTAACCGATGTCAGGTCATGATGAAATCCTTCAACCATTCACATAAAAATTGCACCCCAAACCGCCTACAGTATGTTGCTGTTTTTCATAGGTATATTTATATTATAAAACAAAATGTGCTATTATAAAAGAAGGGAGAAAAGTTGAATTTTATGGACTATATATATTTGAAATTTTTTACTGAACAACACCTACCGCATAACATTCAGCTGAGAATAAAGATTCTGTTTCTCTTCCTCTTGACTAATTAGTTCACGTTTATCTCTGAAAAAAATCAAATAATTTTTTCAAAACAAAAAACAAACAAAAAACAATCTACTTTGTCAATCTAGTTTATGAAATAAGCAAATAAATATAAAAGGGGTATATGTGATAAGCAGAAAAGTAAGCAACTACTGAAAGTAATTCAATAATAACAAACATCGTGAACAGGATAAGTTTAATTTTTAATTCAATTATAATTTTCTCGTGGATTTTTTTCCTTCACGTTCCCCAGTGGAACATAGGGCTTCAATCTAGTTGCTTGAAGTTTCTGTAGCAGTGTTTATTTTACAGGATGGGGTTGTGCTAGCCTCATATCCAACCTTTCCTCTTTACCAGTATTATTTCTAGCTTAGCAAAGTAAAGAAGTGAGTCGGCCGGGATCGAACCCCGGACAATGTGCATGGTCGGAAAGCGTCCTAATCGCTACACCACCGACGTGGATTGATCGGACCGAAATGTTTGGCCCCTGTTGACATGTCACTTTGTAGTACGGATGTCAGTGCTGATAGTCACTATCATCCATCAAATAAATTCAAGTTAATCCTCAGACGTTTGCAGTAAATACAGGAGTCAGACAAGGGTGCTTATTATCACCAATGACATTCCTAATTGTCGTGGACTGGATTATGCGTCAGACTGTGAGTGGGAAACGAGAAGACAGGGATATCCTGTCTGGACCGACGTGAAGAACCTAGAAGACCTGGATTTCGCGCGTGGATGATTTATGTTTAATGTCACTGTCATAAAATCGAAGACTTACAAGCGAAAACCGACAAACTGGTCGAAGAAACAGCCGGTGAAGACAGGACTCGAGGTGAACACAGACAAGACCGAGGTTATGAAAATAATCAACCAACAACAACAACAACGACAGCAGCAGAAACATCCAGCGCCAATCACCATCACCGGAGGAATTTGAAAGAGGTTACTTCACTCACTCATCCATCTAGGGAGCATTGTCTCAAATCTACAGGAAGTCGGAACGGACGAGGATGTCAAATCGAGCGAGAATCGGGAAGACGAGAAACACATTAATCAACCAACCTGAAACCAATCTGGAAATCTTCGTCACTCAGCCAGCATCACCAACAAAATTCAGTCGGATTTTGAATACAAATGTCAAGTCAGTCAGTTCTTCTATACGGATCAGAAACTTGGCGGGCAGGTCACAAAGAATATTTCCAACAGCCAGTTGCAGACCTTCATCAACAACTTTCTTCGCTGGATCTGTACTGAAGATCAGATGGCCGGGCCGGAAAGAATCACCAACAAGAAACTATGGCTGGGAGCAAACAAAACAAGAACCGATTGCCAACCAACAAATATGCAGGAGAAAGTGGAGATGGATCAGACACTCACTCTCTGAGGAGGCCGCTGGGTGACATCGCGCGCGCATCAGGCCATTGCTCGAGTGGAACCCGACAGAATGGGAAGCGGCGAGTGGGACGTCAGTGCAAGGGTGACATGGAGGAGATCGTATGAAGAGGAGTTGAAACAGTATGAACTAACAGGGATGCATGTGAAAAGTGCAGGAGAAGACAGAAGCAAGTGGAGACGTGCAGTTGAAGCTCTATGTTCCGCTAGGAACCCAAGGGAACAATAATAATAATAATCCTCAGATATCAAATGAACTGTAGTCAAGATTTGACAGAATAGTTCTAAAAAATTTGGGCGCCGAGTGAGAAGTAGACATTTGTAAAAAATTATATTTGTATAATCTCAGCGATATTGAAATATCGCTGAGATTATACAAATATAATTTTTTACAAATCCTCAGATATCTTCGATTAGTCTGTACTAGGAACCAGTATGTCAAAAAAAAGCCAAAAATCTCAGCCCAGTCAATCAGTGAAGACGTCAAAACTGAATTAAAAACAATTGACAGCTGGTGCCCACCATACAAGGAAGAGGTGGATCTTGTGGCACGAATGGTCTAGTGGGTAGTACTTTGGTGTTTGAGATGATAAGTACTGGGTTTGGGTCTTATTGGGAACAACATCATTCACTGGGGGATGCTAGTACATTTAGCTGACGACTCCGAAATACTTACGAGAAATGCGCATCCTGGATTCGACTACCAGTAGACTGGCGGTTAATGCTTGCTGCATAAGAGGGGTATTTCCAAGTTCACTAGAATAAGGTGGCAAATTTTAATTCGCTTATAAGTTGTAGATAACTGAAAAATGAGCACGACTGACACCAACGGAGGGTAGTCATATGATACCGTGGTGGTATTCAGCTGTAAACCCATTAAGTAACGAAAAGACATGGAGACAACATGGATATACTCTGTGATGATACTAAGGTGATATCGCATGCCCAGCCGTCGAGTGAAACTCGAATGGGGATTGATAAGCTGAACTTCCTAGGATGGCATGCAAACATGTGTAGACGAAATGAAAGCTTTTGGGTAGTTGGCCAGCCGGCTGAGAGTGATAACATACAATGAACTGTAGTGGACATGCTCCGTTGATTCTTAGGGAACTAACGCCGACAAGCACGCAACCTAGGTCCAAGAATTCCTGTCGATCGCCTACAACTATCTAATAACAACAGTTCTTAGTGCACCGTGATGGCAAGCCACCAAGTGACATGATCGCCACCTTGACTGAAAGCTTGACTGATAGAATTCAGTCTGCAGTGAAAAAAGGACTAGACATATGACACTAATTAGTTTCCAGTCAGAGAGGTACAACTTTATTTATCTATCTATCATTTCAAGACATCTAAGAGTCTATATTACTAGTGTCTGTCAGACTAGGTAAGTTTAAATACATACTGAGGTTAAGTGGATCCCATTAAGATTTACAATGACCAGCCAACAGTATCAGCAGTACTGGCTAATAAATTCCGACAGTGTAAGCTTTCAGCGTTCAGCAGGCTGGACAAGAATTTATGCAACGAGTAGAAACATTTTCCTCAATGGTCATAACTGATAATGATGAATAAAATTCATGAATGTTAATAACATTAATAGTGATAGTACCATTAAAAAGCAGAAGCGATGAAAATGGACCCAGAAAAATTAGCGGACTTGATGACATCACTACTGGAAAACGTGTGGAAAGAGGGCAAAGTACCCGAGGATTGGAAGAACAGATACTTATTCAAACTGCCAAAAGAAGGAGACTTAGGCCAATGCGAAAACTGGCGAAGCATTATGTTCATATCCATCATAACCAAAATACTAAGCCGCATCATCCTGGAGAGAATCAAACAAGCCCTAGATGAAAAACTTCGACCGGAACAGGCTGCATTCAGGAGAAACAAGACATGTATTGATCAAATCGCCACACTGCGGATCGTCATCGAAACAAAGCTTGGAATCGTGGTCACCTCTCTATCTCAACTTCACCGACTTTGAAAAGGCCTTCAACAGACAGCGTCGATTGAGAGGTGATTTGGCAACTACTTCGCTACTACCAAGGGGTCCCATCGACAATTATACATCTCATCGAACAGTTATACGACAATGCTGCACTGCATGCCAAGTAATCCACAACGGGAAACTTACGGAAGCCTTCGAAGTGAGGACGGGAGTGAGGCAAGGCTGTCTACTATCACCAATGATCTTCCTGACTGCGGTAGATTGGATGATGAGACAGACAACGGCAACCAACGAGGGAACAGGCATAAAGTGGACTCACACAAAAGACGAACTTGGAGGATCTGGACCTTGCCAACGATGATATATGTCTGATTTCCCACAAACTGGAAGATATGCAAGTGAAGAGCAACAAGTTGGAAGAAGAAGCAAAAAAGATAGGAATTCAGGCGAACATAGAGAAAACAGAGGTGATGATGAAGATATCTGGCCAACACCAACAACACCGACAACAGACAACAATCAGCATAAATTGGAGGAACCTGAAAGAAACAACCTCCTCTACCTACCCACCCATCTGGGAAGCATCGTTTCAACTACAGGCGGACGGAACTGACGAGGATATCAAAGCCAGAATCGGAAAAGCAAGACAAGCTTTCATCACTCTCAAATCTGTGTGGAGGTCAACAGCCCCACTCAGCATCAAAAATAAGATCCGGATATTCAACTACAATGTAAAGTCAGTGCTACTGTATGGATCAGAGACTTGGCGCGTCATAAAGAGCATCTCAAACAAACTACAGACCTACATTCACAGCTGTCTTCGCTCAATACTCAAGATCAGATGGCCGGCCAGAAAAGATCAGCAACAGGGATCTCTGGCAATGAGCGAACCAACCCAGCAGGAACCGATTGTCAAACAAATAGGCAGGAAGAAAAGGAGATGGATTGGGTTGGCCATACTCTGAGGAAACCATGAAGTGACATCACTAGACAAGCCATCGCTCGAGTGGAACCCAAAAGGGAGGCGGCGAGTTGGTCTTCAGTGTGAGGGTGACTTGGAGGAGGTCATGTGAAGAGGAGATGAAAGCATGTGGGCAGACTTGGAGCCAGGTGAAAACTCTAGCAGAGAACCGAACGCAATGGAGACGCACGGCTGAATCCCTATGTTCCTCTAGGAATTAAAGGAAATAATAGTAATAGAAATAGTAATAGTAGTAGTGGATTACATTGTTAATTGTGCTTCTTGTTTTGCCAGCTGATCTTTTAATGCTTTCAGCTCAGCTTCTCGTTGAATTAGCGTAGTCAAAACATTCTCCAATTCTTTTTTATACGATTTTTGTTCAGCTTCTTCTTTTTCCCAAGAATAATTCGATGTAATTGTAGGCGACTGCGTCTCATTGAAGTAACAATTTGATGTATCAACTATTTCTGTAAACTTTTTCAAAGTGATTGGACTATTCATTGAATCACAGCGAGTAGAAGCACCATGACTGATTTTCTAAAAGATAATTTAAATTAAAAAATGAAAATAAGGAATTTTAAATTTGTACATAATTTCAGAAATAATTCAAACTTAATAGCAACGTTAATGAACATAAGGATTTAGAAAGTGTGCTAATCTTCCGGCTTCATTAAAAATTCAACTCAAAGACCTAACTTTTAATAGTTGTAATCAGTCAACCTACATTACTATATTAGTTTCTTTATTAGATATATCACACAATGAAATAGTGTTTTTATTTACTGCATGACGTTTCGAACAAAATTTATTATTCATAATCACTTCATCAATTATAATCACACGACTTCGAAACTTGAGTTTTATAGTTTTCTTAGCCTTCTTCTATTTGTCGTCGTTGGGGTAATAGAATTTTCCAGATGTCCAGGTGGACAGGTGTTAAGTCTTTTCTATCATAGGTGTTTGCAGTTGATTCGATAAATAAAGCTTCCATTATCAATTTCTCCCTCCACCCTTCGACATTAGATTTTAAAACTGTTATTTTATCCCGTCCTATTGTATGGCTGTGTGTAACTGCATGTAGTGAGTGCTATAGCTGAACTATTCTCTTGATTCCTTATCTTATTCGGGTCAACTAATCTAGATTTTGCTAGGTTTTTATGCTCGACTAGTCTGACTGCCCTGTGTATTTTACGTGGCAATCATTGTAAGCAGGGTATTAGACAAACTAAATTGTTTTGTTTAATTGACTCCACGTGATCGTCCAACCGACGTAGCTCGTTTCTGATTGACTTTGTGAGTTTGAATGCCACTTTTGTTCCTGCCTACATTGTCAAGAATTCTCCGTAAGTTGGTTTCCGAGGTTATTTCTTTGTATGGGAGTACTACTGATGATTTATGTTCCCTATTGTTGGCGTTGTCATTATCATGCTCATTGCTTGAGATGCATGTCGTCACTAATATTAATAACATTATCAATATCAACACCATCATTATTAATTTTATTTTTACGTTTTCCTATATACTTTCTAATTAATTTATCAGGGTAGTTATTAGGTTTCAAAGCTTCTTTTATAGGCCTTGCTTCCTGTCTCAGATATTTCTTGGTACTAACTAGCATTTGTGCCCTATTACTAAGACATTTCATCAATCCTATTTTTACTGACATAGGGTGGGATGATCGGAATAAATATAAAACTTAAGTTTCGAAGTCGGGTGATTATAACTGTTATGATAATGAACAATATATTTTGTTCAAAACAACATCCAGTAAATAATAATACTGTTTCACTGTGTGATGTATCTAATAAACAAACAAATATGGAATTACTTGCATATATATTAACAGTCGACCTACATTTGCTAGGTCATTCATCGCAGAAATACAAATGAACATGTGAGAGACTTTGTCTCTTCACAAGCTCTATAACTGTCATTGTACGAGTTCGCAATTAAGTGACACAGGAAATATGAGTAAATTTTCAGAAGTTTGAGGTAGATGAATACCAGTAAACACTGAAACCCATACTTGTGACAAGCTCTTTAATATTAATAATAATAATAACAATAAAATCTATACTCTGGACTGTATATATAAAATGTACATAATATATTTTCCCTTCGTACAATATCTTTAAGTAAAATATTGATTGACAGTATATCCTGTAACACAATATTCTCTTAGCTGAAGCAGAAACCATTCCATTATGTGATATATCTGATTTATCTCCTTCAGAAAATCCACGATATATAGTTTGAAGCCAATTGTGAGATATTCAAAAGTACATTTTGACACCCAAGGACATAACTAAAGAACAGTCATCTCATGAATCGGAACACGTTGCCACCCACAACCAGGCCATTTCTCAAGTTTAGTAGAAACTTGTGAATCAGAAGCTGGTAGATAATATCATTAGTGGTCATATCTTGATGGATTAAAACAAAACTGAACGAGAGAAAATATATACAACAGAGAGATGGATGTTTTTGATAGCTCAAGTCCTAAGCAGGTCGTCAATGTCTAATATTGAATACAGAACAACGTAAACTGAGATGTTGAGTCTCTTAGATTAGTGAATTCTGAGAAAAATAAAGTGGCTGATTTGAATAATGTAAGGTTTGGTGTCATTCAGATTAAATAAGTGAGAAATACTTATTTGTAGGATACTTTATAAGAACACATTAACCATGCGCGTTTTGCTATTCCATTTAGTTATAAATAAGTACTTAAAATTATTTAATTTATTAGTTTCAGTAAACTGGAAACTTTCATGAAGGACATACATGGCAAATCGGTGAAGAAAATTCTCTTTATGGACGATGTTATCTTCAGGAGCTAGTTATCTGGGGAGTAAAAATCGTACACTTTCCAATCTCATCTTTGAATATTGTCCGTCATGGCTATCAAAAGGACAATGTAAGCCAGTTTCTAGTTCATTTCTCGAACACCTGGTGAATTCAGACTATGCAGTCCCCCCAAAGACCGTAGTTTAGAGTTATCTATACAGTAAGATAAGACTGTAAATGGGGTGTTAGATTACTGCACTTGTGCATAGAGGAGACACTAGAGATTCCTCAGCGCAACCCCAAACTTCACACACAGAAAAGGTTTGTTTAATCTGTGACTTCAAACTCTTTCTTAATCGTTCGTTTCTGCTCATGTGATTAATTCAGTATTCCTACTATTGTGTGTTTCCTTTGTCAAGTGAACACTCAACTACTTTGCGTCTCATTGAATAACAATTTTCACTGTGTCAAATTTTAAATTCTTCCTTCTATTGCGTCGTTGACTATTATGTAATTTTTTATCTTCAGAAACCACTTCTGAGTAATTGTATCAATTATATCAACCTCTCTCCTCTCCTATAACTCACTAACAGACTGCTATGCGCCTTTGGTAAACCTAAATACGTTTGTACGGTCTTTTAAAATGACTTCGTCAATAAGGAAATATATTTCACTGAACTGTCCTATATTATCTTTGTGATTTAGTGAGTATCTCCCTATTTCTGAAAACTTTCATTTTGCTTCAATAAAAACGAAAAAAGATACTTACGCGTCTTAGATTTTCAACTTGTTCTCGAATTTCAGTGATTTCTTGCTCTTTATTGCAGACCAATGTTTTGTACTCATTTTGTAATTTTTCATGCACCTGAAGAACAGTAAAACAAGAAAAACAATAAGAGATGAAATAAAAAAAAATAAAAACCCCACTCAGATTCATATGCTACAGGTAAGTAAAGTATTTTTAGAATGCCAATAAGAGAAGCAAAGTTTCTGAATTCGTCATGATAGCTGTAGAAGTGTTTTTTTTTAACGTTAATTCTGCATGCTATATAATAAAGTTGAAAATCAAAGGAACAGATACTCTTCTGAATAGTTTCTTTCACCTTTTAAAGTTTTTCATCACATATACGCATTTGTGTTTGAAAATATGCCTTTTGTAATAACACGATCACCGAAACATAATTTGGTTCTTCATTTTGCTTGAATTAAAATTAAATTATTTAAGACAATATGCATAAAGTAAATACTGATAATCAAACGTTGGTTTGCGGGGATTCGATTGCTTACAGGATCTTATCATTAGCTAACATCGGTGATACTCTAATGGTTCTCTAACCGATGTCAGCTTATGATGACATCCTCTACATATGAAACCGTTCTATAAAGTGTCGACATTACTAGAGCTTTCCAATATTAGTTTATAGGCATTCGATCAATTTCAGATTTGAATATGGATGTACGTCAGTAGGAGAATCGCTGAAAATCAGCAAGTATAGGAAACATTTTGTATAGCATTTCTTCATGGATAATCTCCATCCAGGCAGTAATGAAAAAAAAACACGTAGTTCAACGAAGAGTCACTTTCCGCCAGCGAATTCATTCACGCCTAGCTGTACAATCACAAATATATATGAGCTATTTTGAATGCTGATTCTTTAATTGCTTATAATTCTTGTATTCATTTAGAACTCTTACGTAATTTCATATTTTCTACTCTTTGCCTATGTGTATCTTAGGTACAACTCAGTCATCAAACTATTCATATTATTACTTAACTTCTTTTTTAACAACTGTTTGTAACAACTCATCACCTTTGTCACTACACTAGTTTCATTAACACCCAATTTTCTTGACTGTTTTTGTATTACATAACCCCACACACAACTTAATAATTTTCACCTGTTTTGTTAAAATAACCATAACCAATTGTATTTTGTTTGACAAACTTATTGTACACATGCATTCAAAATAGTTCATATATATTTGTGACTGTACATCTAGGCGTGAATGAATTCGCTGAAAACGGACGTTCACTGAACTACGTGTTCTATATCATTTGTGTTAATCAAAATCTTCATTTTGATGATAACTTTTTCACAGGATTAGAAATACACGCATCTTTGTCCAGATTTCGTCATCGCACCCACTACAACTCTCTACTTGGCGTATTATTTTCGTGTTGTACACTTTAGAATTTATATGAATTATCATCCTCGTTCAATAAAATATTTGGAAACCCTTGGACAACATCCACAAGTGAAAACAGCGCCGACAAAACATTCCCCGTGAACTGTATCTCTGCAATTTACTGTTCATTTCCTATAAGAACAAGTAACTGTGATAATTTATAACCCACTTATCATTCAACAATTTTGTCTTAATAATACTACCACTTTTGAACTAGTTTTTATACACAGCTAAGACGCTGTTTTAAGCGTATTATTTAGAGGAATATAAGGATAGTATAGTCTGCAAGAATATATTAAGAGGCAATTATCCGCGGAATATCGACTGTCACTTTTACTCCACATGGATTCCCCGATAAAAATCAATTATGTTTAATAGTTAATTCATACTTTTTATCCTGAGTTATCCTATTTATGGAAAAGCAACCTTATCATCTTTGCTGCTCAAAGTAGTTTGAATTCCATTTGTTTCGACCATTGGGATACTTTGTTGGAAATAATTTTTCGTGAAACAGAGTGGTAACAAAAGTTATGAATTGTCATAATCATAATTAGTCAATATTAGTCAGTGCACAAGAGGAGTTGAGTACATGTATTAGAGATGTGAAATAAAGATGAATAATTTTAACGAATGAGTTGTAATCACGGTGCATATAGAAACGTAGGAAATTTTTAAGATATGTAAGAGTTTTAAAGAAATACAATTTACAGTTAGTTGAGAAATAGACAGACGAAAATCGAGTTATTAGAAATCGATAAGCTTGTTACCATGATAGTATAAGTGGTTGAATAATTTTTCTTCGTATGCATCATCTTTGAGAAGAACATTCTTCGCAGTAACGGTAAAAGTAGTGTTCTCTAGCCGTCTATAGGTCTGCAGAAGCCTGATGACTTTTGTGTGCGCATGTCACTTCACCTGTTCCTGAAGAATTATGCATATTGGTTCTATAACACTATCCCGTATCGTTGCAGAAAGGCAGCAGTGGCTCTAGAAGGAATCCGATAATCGAACACCTCGTCAACACTGGTCATTCTATTTCAACAAACTCCTTCAAAGTAGTCTACAAAGTGGAAAACGACCCTTTAAAAACAATAAGTTTTCGCCTCCTTTGCAGTGCTGAAGCTCTATCCATCCAGATGGAGAAATTGGAGCTCTGCATACAAAAGAAAATCATTCAACCACTTATACTATCATGGTAACAAGCTCATCGATTTCTAATAAACTGATTTTCGTCTGTTTATTTCTCAACTCGCCATAACTTGTATTTCCTTAGAACTTCTGCATATCATAATAATTTCCTTCGTTTCTATGTGCGCCCAGATTACAACTCATTCGTTAAAATTATTCGTCTTTATTTCACATCTCTAATACATGTACTCAACTCCTCTTGTGCACTGACTAATATTGACTAATTATGATTATGACAATTCATAACTTTTGTTACCATCCTGTTTCATGAAAAATGAATGAGTCCGGTGGAAAGGACCTCTTCGTTGAACTAGTGGTTTTTATTTTCACTAATGTCTGGGTGCAGGGGGGGGGGTTATTTACGAAAACATTTTCTGAACAGATACGAATACTTTATTCTTTATTAATTTCACGGCATTCTTCCTACTGGTGACTAAATTCATGATAAGGCCTAGTTTGTTTGAAACAAACCAATGCAACTTATTATATGAATTAAGTAATAATAGAACCACCAGTAGTCTCACTCTCACCTTTCACCCAACATTTAATTATTATAAAAATTAGGAGCATGAATACGATAAGAACAAAGCAGTTAAGTGAAATGGAATGAATTCAAGTGGTAAAATAAAATAAAAACTAGAAAGAATATTACTATGACCAAGGTAAAGAAAGCGGTTTGACAAAACGTTTTTGAACACATAATTTAGGTTTCTGTTCATGTATAGCTAAAGCTTCGGCTATGCACAAATGAAGAAAACGTAAACTTTTGGATCGATTCGATTTTGCTATGTAGATAACCTTGAAGGATAAATCACATGGGGCTGAATGACCAGACTCTAACAGGGGATCACAAATAGACGACTTCGCAGTTCTACGTTCGCCTTTCATTAACCAGACCGGATAGTGTTGAGCTACACGCTCTTGGAGAGTACGCTTACAACGTCCAATATAATCATCTCCACAGGAGCAGGTAAAACAGTAAATGCACATAGTAATAATGACTACAATACATGGATGTTCAGAAGAGACTTATATTGTCCAAATAAAGAATAAAGACAACAAGGAAAGTAATGTAATCAAACAAACAGGTGACATTATCTTAAACCTACTTCATATTTAGCGCGTTCTTCAATTGATTTAATCTGTGATTCCAGTTCACCTTCCAATCTATCCAAATCACTTTTACGTGCAGCTTTCTCCCTGTCAGAAAATTTTAAAAAAATATATAATAATAATGATAATCACTTTATTCCAAAACAGTACTTGCGATAAGGCTGAACACTTCAAAAGACTTCTAAATCGTCCGCCACCTACAACACGCCCAAAAATACCAACAACGGAAGCAGAACTACCAGTGAACATTGACCCCCCGACAAAATCAGAAGTCCTGAATGCAATCAAGATGCTAAAAGCTGGGAGAGCACAAGGACCAGATGGAATCCCAGCAGAAGCTTTGAAAATAGACCCAGAGAAATTAGCGGACTTGATGACATCACTACTGGAGAAGGTGTGGAAAGAGGGCAAAGTACCCGAGGATTGGAAGAACGGATACTTATTCAAACTTCCAAAGAAAGGAGACTTAAGTCAATGCAAATACTGGCGCGGAATTATGCTCCTGTGCATCCCAACCAAAATACTAAGTCGCATCATCCTGGAGAGAATCAAACAAGCTCTAGATGAAAACCTTCGACCGGAACAGGCTGGATTCAGGAGAAACAAGTCATGTATTGATCAAATCGCCACACTACAGATCATCATTGAACAAAGCTTGGAATCGCAGTCACCTCTCCATCTCAACTTCACTGACTCTGAAAAGGCTTTCAACAGACAGCGTCGATCGAGAGGTGATTTGGCAACTACTTCGCTACTACCAAGGGGTCCCATCGACAATTATACATCTCATCCAACAGTTATACGACAATGCTGCATGCCAAGTAATCCACAACGGGAAACTTACGGAAGCCTTCGAAGTGAGGACGGGAGTGAGACAAGGCTGTCTACTATCACCAATGATCTTCCTGATTGCAGTAGATTGGATGATGAGACAGAAAACGGCAACCAACGAGGGAACAGGCATAAAGTGGACTCACACAAAAAACGAACTTGGAGGATCTGGACTTTTCCAACGATGATATATGTCTGATTTCCCACAAACTGGAAGATATGCAAGTGAAGAGCAACAAGTTGGAAGAAGAAGCATCCAGGGAAGATAGGACTTCAGGTGAACATAGAGAAAACAGAGGTGATGAATATTTCTGGCCAACAGTAACAGCAGCAGCAACAACAGACAATAATCAGCCAGCATAAATGGAAAGAACCTGAAAGAAACAACCTCCTCTACCTACCCACTTACCTGGGAAGCATCACGGTTTCAACTACAGGCGGACGGAACTGACGAGGATATCAAAGCCAGAATCGGAAAAGCAAGACAAGCTTTCATTACTCTCAAATCTGTGTGGAGGTCAACATCACTCAGCATCAAAAATGAGATCCGGATATTCAACTACAATGTAAAGTCAGTGCTACTGTATGGATCAGAGACTTGGCCAGCGCGTCATAAAGAGCATCTCCAACAAACTTCAGACCTACATTCACAGCTGTCTTCGCTCAGTACGCAAGATCAGATGGCTGGCAAGAAAAGATCAGCAACAGGGATCTCTGGCAATGAGCGAACCAACCCAGCAGGAACCGATTGTGAAACAAATAGGCAGGAAGAAAATGAGATGGATTGGCCATACTCTGAGGAAACCATGAAGTGACATTACTAGACAAGCCATCACTGGAGTAGATCCCGAAAGGGATGGGGCGAGTTGGTCGTCAGTGTGAGGGTGACTTGGAGGAGGTCATACGAGGAGGAGATGAAAGCATGTGGACAGACCCGGAGCGGGGTGAAAAAGTTGGCAGAAAACAGAAGACAATGGAGGTGCGCAGCTGAAGCCCTTTGTTCCTCTAGGAACTAAAGGATATAATAATAATAATAATAATACTTGCGATACAGAATGGAATTCTCAGCATTTTTACTACAGTATTGCATCCAGTTAGTAAATTAACAATGAAATAAAATTCTACATAGATTAAGGGTAATCTCAGTTAGTTTTGACAACAACATATTAGCATGCCGCTAGCAAGTCAAAATTAAACAGCGTGTTTCAAAGTGCTAGGAAAGTAGGTTCTAGCATATTTACTGGCGTAAGCAGAAGAAAGAAACAAAACTGCACATATATTAGAATAACAAAATAAATAAGCAGTTTTCTTAGAAGGAAGTTAATTGACTGTTTGATTGGACACACTAATTAGCAACTAGTCTGATGTGTCTAGTCCTTTCTTTGGTGCAGGTTTGCAATATGGCCACATCTATTTGACCACCGAAAAATTCAGTTATTGAACTAGAAAAGCTGGAAAAATCATCAGCCATAGGTCATCTACACGCTACGCTACAGAGAATCAGGTCACAAATCTGATTTTGACAATATTGAAATAATCCAGAAAAACTTCAGAAATGATGAAGAACGTCTAGTATCATCAGAAGCCAGCCCTTCATATCAAATGGAATCCAAATTGTCTGCACAGGAATGATAGACTAAAACAGAGTTTGACCTGGTTACAACATTCCCCTCCCCCATGAAATGACAAAGTCAATGCGAATGTCATAAGCAATTTCATTATGTACACCTACGCCTCTTTTACAATTAATATACACTTATCGAATCCAACAATCTACACCTGGTTTTGTTATCGTTAGCATTTAGCCAACTTGACAACCAAAGATAACCCCATGCTGAGGAACGATGATTAAGTTAGCTGTTATATATAAGATGAGATTTGTATATTTTGTTTTGATAACACTAATTTGATAAAGCTATTAGCAGCAGTATTAAATAGCGAAACGTCAGTAAAAAAAGAACAATATCGTCCCTTGTTTTTCATTCATTGGGAAATACTGAAAACCTTTATTATAATGAATAATTTTTTATAGTCTTCAAAATCATTTGTATTCAGGATATTTTTTCTGATCTTTCCGTCTTAATATATGAACTTTAAAATGTAAATGTCAGTCATTTCAAGTCTAACGTTATATAGATTTTAAAATGTAGACTGTGTAGGCAAAAAAACCAACTCTTTATGGTCTCAATGCAAGAAAATGATGTCTCAGTTTGATTGGACACTAGTTAGCAACTAGTGTGATGTGTCTAGTCCTTTATTTGGTGCATGTTTACAATGTGGCCACCATTCTAGATAGCTTGCCACATGGATTTGATGATATTAGATGGTTGGAGGCTGTGCGTCAACGTGGAATTCTACCTAGGAAATTGGAAACGCTTTAACTGTATACAAATGAATCTTCAAGTGAAAACTAATTTCATTTCTTATATTCATCACGAATAACTGAATACGACTAATTACTAACGTGGGAAGTGAGTCGGTGGCATAGCAGTTAGGACGCTCGCCGATCATGCACATGGTCCGGGATTCGATCCCCGGCCACCGACGCACTCCTTTACCTCACTCAATCAGAAGTAAACCTGATAAAGAGGAAAGGTTGGCATGAGGCTAGCAACCCCATCCTGTAAAAATAAACATAACTGCTACAGTAACTTCAAGCCTCTAGCTTGAAGCCCTATGTTCCACTGGGGAACGTGAAGGAAAAAAACTAACATGGGAAAGATTGGATGGAAATAGGGTATACACTTATAGGTTAGTCATACACCTAGAATGTGAAACTTCCTACCTGTTGCTATTTATCAGTGAAATTATACTGGATAAGTGGAGAAGACCAATTTATGTAGTGCATACCCTTCCTTGGGAATGGAAACAATAATTATGCATAGAATAATCTATGAAAATTACTCAGTGTAGATGTAAATTTCAAGTACTAGTTTAGGCTTTTTGTTCACATGCGTGTGTGTGTGTGTGTGTGCATATGACAAGACTAAATAAAAGGATATCAAATACATGGTTGGAGGATTTCATCATGAGCTGAAATCAGTTAGAGTACCATTGGAAAACCTGCAGGGAGTACTGGACAGCTGTCTCCCACGTCCTGGTTTGGAACTCTTGACCAGTACGGAACTGTATACGTCCAATGGTTCTCTAACTGATGTCAGCTCACAATGAAACCCTCCAACCAATTGAAGAAACAAAATCTCTACAATACTTGAAAAATATCGCATATTTATTGTTCAGTGTAAAGTGCTTTCATTGAACCACTCTGAAGGTGGATTTATCCTAGATTTTGTGGTAAGGACCTTCTACTCACTAGGCTGTAGTTACAACCAGTAGACAAATACGACCAAATGTGGTTCTTGCATTTGTTTACTATCTACTGCCTATCATTTATACAATTATCTCCTTTTTAATAAACTTGTACAAAACAAGAAGAACATACTGACTAGGATAATATGACGTCGTTATATATTTCACTGGTTCATGTCACATGCGTATAATCATGAACAATTTAATATAAGTATATAAAAAAATTCAAATACTGTAGTTACTGATCATAAGAATGACGAATATTAATATCACTTGATTAGGTAGACTAATAAAAGGGGATAAAAGCCTGTCAAATGACATCATGGATAAATGACTAGTGAGTTATATAGTAATGGTTTGTTTACGTCAGTACTTTGAAACCCGTATCCAGCATATTTAGCAGATATATATATATATATATATATATATATATATAAATGTGTATGGTAAAAGTGAAACTAAATAACTCAATTACATGTACATTTTGGTGGACAAAAATGACTGAAACTTTGAAAAAACTTGAAAATCTGAAGAAGAAATCATAACAAAATTTTTATAGTCTATCCAATCACACATACATCTTGTTAAAAGTTTTCTGATCTCTCTATCAGTCTAGACAGAAAGTTTATACAGCTGTCATACATTCTATTTAACAGTGGAGTTATTTAATTTATGTATTCAATTTTAACCTTCTCGTCGATTGATTGACTAGACCGAAATGTTGGGCCTCTGTTGAGATATCGGCTCTTAATGCGAACGCCTTCAAGATGTCTGAGGATTAACCTGTAGTAATTTGGTGGTTGGTGACTAGCTTCCACTCAATCAATAGGAAAATCAGAATTGAACTGAAAAATAATAATTAACACTCATTGCACAAGAGGTGGCCCTCGTGGCCCAAACAGTTTAGTTGGTAACTTTTTGTCACTTGAAACAATGGGTACTCGCTC